GAACTCTCTAGAGAGTGGCAGTCTAGTGGTCTAGGAAAGGCGAGGGGGCAGGTCTACTCTGTCCTCCAGAGCCACAACAGGGTCTCCAATTGGAATCGACTCAAAGGCACCAACTGTTTCCTGATTTATGCTGCTTCAGCAAATTTTTCTTCTGCTCTCTCACTCAATGGTTTCCAGATTCGGTTTATAGCAAATATTTAAGACACATGAACTATATCCTCTATTCTTAAGTTTTCTGTATGTCGATGCTTTGGTGTTACTCATAAGGTTTTCAATGGTTCGTTCCTCAGCAGTGGGCAGTCTTCCTCTTCATAGTCTGTTTAGATTGAAGCTGTGCTGAAACCTCTTCACTTGGGTGACCCTGCTGGTTTATGAAATGCCAACGACCTAGCTTTTAACCTCATAGCAACAGACCGGCCACCACAGTACAGGTAGTTCTGTACTATATCCTGGAGATGCAGCATATGTGGTTTTAAGTCCTGCCCTATGTCAACACTTAGCATCTCTAAACAGAAAGCTGCACTCCCAACCTTTCAGTACCTATGACTGCTTGGTCTTTCTCTTGCCAGCAGATAAGCTAGGACGTTAATACTGGCCGTAGGTAGATTCTGGATATGCTAAGATATGCCTGTCTTAAGAAAGAAATGTGTAGGTTTATTTTACAGAAAATCTAGTGCTAGAGCAAGCTTCAAGTCTGCTTACGACAGCAGCTCAATGGCAACATCGAAGAACTATACTCAGACTTTCTCATCACTCTTGCCTTTAAATTTGAGTTGTTAGTAGATGGCTGCCACTAGCAACTAGGGCAGCTCCCTGGATGGCACAAAAGGAGTGCACCCTAATTACCAGCCGAAAGGCTAGCAGTTCAACCCGACCTGGATGTGTCTTCCCAAAAGGTTGCAATCCTGTAGTTCAAACTCGATAGCCTTGAAAACCTTTTACTGCAGTTCTGCATCCACGGCGTTGCCATGAGTCAACTCGACAGCAACACACAGCAACTGAGATGGGATGCTTCTTAGTCATATAAAAAAGCAGCTAGTCTTAAGTGACTATTTTATAAGCCAAGAGTCTTCTTTCTCAGATGCCCAATCTCCAATTTTTGTTTCACTGGGCCCAACTGCAAGGTCAGCAGTTAAAAATCACCAGCCACTCCATAGGAAAAAGACATCAGGCTTCCTACTCTTGTAAAGTTAGTCTTGAAAATCCATAGGGGCATTTCTACTGTGTCCTATAGCAGCAGTTCTCAACCTGTGGGTCACAACCCCTTTGGGGGGGAGAGTTGAACGACCCTTTCACAGGGGTCGCCTGATTCATAACAGTAGCAAAATGACAGTTATGAAGTAGCAACGACAATAATTTTATGGTTGCGGCGTTATCCCATCATGAGGAACTGTATCAAAGGGTACGCGGCATTAGGAAGGTTGAGAACCACTGTCCTATAGGATCACTATTAGTTGGCAGCAACTCAGTGACAGTTTGGTTTTTTACTTTGGTCTGTCCCTTACCTAATCATTTGCAAGATGAGGTTAGCACTGTTGGTTTAAGATGAAGCCAAGCTGACCCCGATGGGTTTGAGGTCAGTTTGCCTTGAATAATAAAGGGATGGATAGCCGGGAGAGGGAAGAATAAATGTTGAGTTAGCAGGCCGTGGGTCAAATGGGTTGATCAACTGAACAGGTAAAGTTGACCAGGTTATCAGATTGAGTTCTGGGGGCAAGAGGAGATTCATAACAGTTCCTATAGTCTGGGTTTCAGCAATTATAAGTAAGGGGCATTTACTGAGATGACAATTGAATAACAGAGCAGGTTTGATAATAAAGGCTTCTACTTTCACCAAGAAATCTTGACGACAGTGGAGAGGTCATCAAGTGGTGAGTAGAATACGACTGCAGAGTTTCAGAAGAAAAGTCAGGACTGCGATTAGATGAGACATCATACTTACACAGTTGGTTTGGGGCTGCTTGTTTAAAAGCAATTGAGACTGGATGCAAACAAAGCAAGTGACCCCAAGGGAGAAGCTAAACAGGAGACAAGATTTAGAGACAGAGTGCAAGAGTAGCTATTTAAAGCACCACTAAACCCGGAGTTCAACTCTCGATAGGCCGAGGGTACAAATCATCAGCTGTCTGTTAAAGAGGGGGTCCCTCTTTCAGCTTGGGAAACGTGAGGCAAAGAATGAGTATTTATAAAGGTACCATGGCAGGACAGACCATGACATGTCACTAATGTGTAAGGCATTATTAGTATTCCAGTCTTACATAAGACACTGACCATAACTATAGCTATAACTGAACTCAAATTATTTCAGTGGAATTATGACTATCAAAAAACAGCAATTCATCACTAAGAATTGTTTATTAATAAAAATTCTTGTTAGAAGCAAATCTGTAGTAAAATTCCTTTTTCCAAATTATATTCTCCACTGAAATTGAAGGACTAAGAGGTAAAAGAGAAATCCAAAGTGGTCTAGAACTGGTCCTACCTTTGAGTGTAATGCCAGCCCCTAGCAGTGACACTTCAGGGTGCCGAAGACCTCTACAGAGAATCGAGAAGCACGGATCTTACTTTGAGAACTAAGCTGTGCCTGATCCAAGCCATGGTACTCTCCGTGGCATCATCTGCATGTGACAGTTGGACATTAAGGTTGAAGAATCCGTGCATTTCAATTGTGGTGCGGGAGAATATTTAAAGTACCATGGACTGTTAAGAGGACAAACTGATCTCCACTGGAAGTACAGCCAGAGTGGTCCTTAGAGGCAAGAACAGCAAGACTTTGTCTTAGACTTTGGTCAGGAGAGACCAGTCCCTGGAGAAGGACCTTATGCTTGGTAGAGTGGAGGGGTAGCGAGAAAGAGAAGGACTCTCAACTAGATGGATTGACACAATGGTTACAACAATGGTTACAACAATGGCCTCAGGCATAGGAACAACTGTGAGGATGCTGCAGTCCAGGGCAGTGTTTCATTCTGTTGTCAGCATGGTTGCTATGGGTCAGAACAGACTCGTTGGTACCCAACAACAAATAACAGCAGTGATCCTGGTGATGTATTGAGTTATGCATTGGGGTCCTTCCACAAGGTCAGTGGTTCAAAACCACCAACCAATCCTTGGGAGAAAGATAAGCTTTTTACTCCTGGAAAGATTTACAGTAATTTAAACTCAACACCATTGGCTAAATTAATACTATCAATTACCAAATGCCCCATGGGAATGATTTATAATGTTCTCCAATAAAATGATGTCTCTAAAATGGACCAGGGACACATATAAACTATAGATACATGAGTGAATGATGAGTTCCCATTCCAAAAACAACTGGTTCTTATCATGTGACTCTACCAATACTTACCCTCAAGAAAAGATCACTGAAGATATGGGTGCTACAGCAAAGTATGGTGAAAAAATCAGGTGGTGCCTGTATACAGAAAGAAAAGCATCTAAGGTCTTAAAGTCTGGTCTTCAAATAGCCATCTAAGTGAGGTGTCAGCTAAGTCCTAATGGAAGAAGCACACCAGTCTGTGCAATCCAAAGATTGTAAATAACAAAATCCAAGACCAGAATGAGGTACGGTAATAAGAGCTTAAATTCCAAGTACTTGGTTTTCAGAAGGCTATGGACAACAGTGAAAGCCCAAAATCCACTTGCAGGGTCTCCACATGGATTGAGCCTCTGGTGAATTCCTTCTGACCATTGACTAGGGATATAAAGAGCTTTGTTAGCATAGTGCATTGGAAAGTGGACTAATAGAGATGTAATTCGGTAAAATTTAACACTTATTTGTTCTCCCTTTTGGCCGATTTTAATGTTGTTCTAGTTTTTTTCTTCTTTTCAACTGATGATTTTTAAAAATTTTATTGTTGTTGGTTTATTTTTGTTTTTCTTTAAATTAAATCCAGGATAGGTAAATCTAGAGATAGTAACTAAATTAATAGTTTCTTAGGGTTATGGCAGCAGAAGCAAGGGAGTATTGGAGAGTAGTTATTGAGTACAAGAAATAAGAAAGTGTTCTAAGATTGATTTGGGTGAAGACTGCACAACTCTCTTTAATATGTTTAATGGACTGCATTATATGGTATGTGAATTACCTGTCAATAAAACTGTTATTGCCACAGTGGCTACAACAACTGGCTCAAGCATGGGAACAATTAGATGGTGCAGGACTGGGCAATGTTTTGTTCTGTTCTATGTTGGGTCACCATGAGTCAGAAACAACAGCACCTAACAGCAAAACTGTTAAAAAAAATAATAATAATAATTGTAAGTGTACACATCAAGCGATTACAAAGAAATGCTATTATAAAATTTAGTGATTTGATATTTATTTCTTAATGAATACAGGAAAACTAGAGATTAACTTATTAAATAAAACCTATGTCCAATTCTTATGACGTTTCAAAACTGTCTCTGGTCAATTTAAACAAAGCACATGAAGGGGTCTGTCCAAGGACATTGTCCAAGTCAACCTCTGAAAAGGGATCTAATGGTCACTGTGTTGTTGATGAAGGATCCTGGGTCCACCTCCTCAAACTACCAGAGGGTACTGCTCGTACAACTAGGATAACACTACTCTGCATATAAACACTAGTACTGGCCAACAAGGCATAATATTATCATTGTTGACTCAAGAGCTAAGTAAATTGTTATAATTAAAACGAACTGATATTTTAAAACATAGGGTCTGAAGGGTCATCTTAGGAATTTCAGCAAATGTTGCCTAAGCTAACAAAATACGGATGAGATTAAGATAATTATAAAATTATCTTATAAAACTGGACTAACATTTAATCAGTGGGATTTAATAAAAAAGACAATTTGGAAATGAGATGCTAGCTCTGGGCCATTTAAACTCTGAGCCTTAGTTAACATTCAAAAAGAAAAGAGGGGGGGAAATCATTATTATGAAATTTAAGTATATACATATTATACAGTCCTGGACAATCACGACTAATAGAAAAGAGTTAATGATTACAGGCAAAAGATCAAGATATTTGCATCAAAGCAAGAGTAGATCAAAATGTTTATTTTTCATGTTACAAAAGCAAAAACAAATCCAAGCAGATAATGAAATAAACATTTAACTTTTACAGGGTCCCGTCCTGGGTTCAGTCCTAGACATTAGTAAACAGTTCAAGTTTAGGTTGCTTCGGCACTTCTCCTGGATGCTACGAGGTCTCCATCTTATAGCCATGTTTCTCTAACTCAGCTCTATAATGAAACACACAAGACAACATAATCAGTAAGCATTCTTCATGATCAAGAAACATTTTTTAAAGAACAAAACATTTAAGAAATAGTCAAAGAGCTAAACCAAACCTGAAGTCTCCACATAAAGTATTACTAAATAACTGTTAGTCCCTAAATTGAAACTGTATAAATTTGGATGTGAGTCAATATGATGCTAATTACATTTTGCTTTTGCCAGTAAGGTTATCTTTTATCTGTCCTTGTTTCCTTATAAACTTATTTATGGAATGATTTCCAAATACCACACAAATGCTTTGCTCCTAAAAAATCGTTTAGAATGAATGTTGAGAAACATTAAATTTGAGGCTAAAAACACTCCGCAGGAGTGGATCTTCAGGTCTTTTCTACCACAGAACAACTGGTGGGTTCAAACCACTGACCTTTTGTCAAGCAGTCAAGTGTTTTAGCACTGTACCCACCAGGGGCTTCTTTTTTAACCATTTCAAATCTTTTTAAAAAATTAATTAATTTATTTTTTTAATCATTTTATTAGGGGCTCATAATAACTCTTATCACAATCCATACATACATCAATTGTGTAAAGTGCATTTGTACATTCATTGCCCTCATCATTCTCAAAACATAACAAGTGTACCCTAAACAGAGAAAAATAGCTGAACAGATTGCTTTTTCATATTGATATGTATACATTACTTTAATCAAAAGGGGAAAGAAAACTTATGAGTATGTAAACTCTAAGGGTGGTAAGAATTACTCTGTATTAACTATATAGAGACAAAATTAACATGTTATAAAATATTAAGTAAGATTTCACTATCCGAGTTTTAAATGTAGAAGGAAAATCTCAAAATTATCTATTGGCACACACACACTTCATGATCTTAATAATTTATTGAACCTGAAGTTTCAGTCACACTTTGAAAATGCAGGCTGCAACTGCTGACCTGCCTGACAATTGGGATAAAAACGCTTAGCTCTGCAATCAGTTCCAACGATTTAAACTAGTTTTCCAAATAACACCAACTTGTCTGTCACATTCAAATTTTATAAAATGTAAGTAAAACTTGTTAGAGAGCAAGCCTTACATATAAAATGTGATTAATACACATTGCATAGTTATAGTCAGTAAGTAAAAAGACATTTGGTCTCATTTGAAAACATTTTACAAACACTAGAAGTACTTACTTGTAATCAACACAAGTTTTTGAAGGTAAAGGCACGCTGAAGCTGTGCTAGTCAACAGTCACTGCATGTGGTTAAATGAATTAAAAAGTAAATCATCTGCTACTCAGCATTGGCTGTGTTTCAAGTGCTCAAATAGCCAAATGTGGCTAGTGGCAATCACACTAGCTGTTGCACATGTTATAGAACAATCCATTACCAAAAGAAGTTCTATTTGACAGGTCTTGGGAGGTATCAGCTTTAGTGAAAAAGAACTCTGGATTCAAATAAGGAACTAAAAAGGAAAATTCTATTCACCAATAGAGGTATCAGGATTTACAGCAGGGGAGGCTGGGGGAAAATGGGGAGTTAATAACAAGGAATAAAAAAAGAAGAAAGTGTTTTAAAAGTGATTGTGGAAATGATGGTAAAATTGGAGTTTTTTGGTTTTGTTTTTTTGTTGGTAAAAGAAACAAAACTTTGGAGATACTGGACTCTTAAATGACAAAGGATGAAGTCACTTGGCTTCAAATTTCTAAGAGAATTTCAAAGATAACAAGAAAAGCTGTCATACAATTGAGATCATGGAATCAGACTCAAGAGAGTTGGGATATTTGAAAATAAATTTCTAGCAATACTGATTCCAATGAGAAAGAAACGGGATGCGCACAAAGGAAAAAGGCAGCTGGGTGTTTTCTAATGTGTATCAGTCTGGAAAAAAGTGTTGTACCAAGAAGCGGCACGAGCTTTACTGTAAGCATTCTTGTTCTGAGATGCTGATGAGTCCGTTCCCACTCCTGCCAGTCCTACGGACAACAGGACAGCCCCAGCCACGCTCACAACCGCTGGTATGTGTGAGTCCACTATACACAGAGAGTTAGTGAGAACCTACAGTGAACTGAAATTTCAGAACAACAAAATGGGCGTTGAAAGTCAGATATGGATGAAGAATGGTGTACGATTAATACATTTTAGAGAAAAGTCTCAAGAGCTATAGTTCTAATTTTGTCCATAAAACTGCAACAGGTAAAACAACATCATTAAAGTGAAACTGAAAACCAAGACAGATGAGATTAACTTCAAACTGCATTCAAGTCATTTAAAGTCTCATGGCTCTGAATAATTACAAAGTATTAAGAGAACTGACATACACAGTAACAAACCAGTCAATATCTTTTGAGAAATTATGAAGAACCGTAAAAGGACCAGACTAGTAGTGAAAGATAAATATAAATTGGACCATGTCGAAAATATGGAAGAAAGGAGAAATATGTCTTTAGAATATATAAATTCTGAAGCCTCTACTCCCACCCATTAAACAAGGACAGTTACCAGGGCTTCCTACTATAACTTCGCCTGCATCGAATGTATTTAAAAATTAAAATTAAAAAAAATAAAATCATTTAAATTATCTCACATCTTTTTTGAACAAGAATACTACAGTAAGTTAGAAGTTTGCAATAGTTCTTCTATCTTGATTTCAGCAAAGTATGTAAGGGCCTATTTAAAAATATTTGTGGCCAAAAGAGCTAAACATGGGTTGAATCCAAATAAAATTGAGGACAAAATGATCAGAATGGAAATAATGACAATGTTTGTGCATTGTAAAAATTATAACCAATGTCACCAAATTATTTGTATGGAAATTGCTGAATGGGAATATAAACTACTGTATAGACCCTTCATGCCACGAGGGCTCCTGCACATACATGAAGTTCTATTTTTTAAAGAAAGAAATCAGAGAGGAAGACAAATGGTATTCAACAAATGATACCAGATAATTGAATATTGACATGTAGGATGAAATTAGACCCCTATGTCACCTACCATATATAAATATTAACCAAAAATGGATGCTACACCTAAAATAGTAAGAGGAGTTGTTGTTAGGTGCCCTCCAGTTAGCTCCAACTCATAGCTACCCACGTACAACAGAACAAAACCCCACCCAGTCCTGTGCCATCCTCACGACTGTTGTTGTACTTGAGCTCAGCACTGCAGTCACTGTGTCAATCCCCCTCGTCAAGGGTCTGCCTCTTTTCCTTGCGGCTCCACTTTACCAAAAATGATGTCCTCTCCAAGGACTAGTCAGACCTTCCCCTAACATGTGAAACTACCACTAAGTCTCACCAGCCTTGCTTCTAAAGAGCATTCTGGCTGTGTGGTTACACCTCAGGCTGCTAACTGAAAGGTCAGCAGTTTAAAACCGCCATCCGCTCCTCAGGAGAAAGAGGCAAGCTTTCTAACCCCGTGAAGAATGACAGTCTCGGAAACTCAAAGGGGCAGTTCTAACCTGCCCTATAAGGTTGCTGTGGGTCAGCAATGACTGGAAGCAGTGAGTGAGTGAGTGATGGCATTTTAAATATTCTTCATCAGCACCCTAACTCAAATGCATTAATTCTTCTGTCTTCCTTATTCAATGTCCAATGTTCATGTACATATGAGGCAAATGAAAAGACCATGCCTTGGGTCAGGTACACCCTAGTCCTCAAAGCAATAGCCTTGCTTTTCAACACTTTCAAGAGGTTTTGTGCAGCAGATATACCCAATGTAACGTGTCATTTGATCGCTGGACTGCTGCTTCCACAAGCACTGATTGTGCATCTATGCAAAATGCAATCCTTGACAACTACAATCTTTTCTCAGTTTATCACGATACCTACTGGTCCAGTTGTGAAGACTTTGGTTTTCTTTACACTGAGTTGTAATCCATACTGAAGCCTGAAACTTGATCTTCATTCAGCAAGTGTTTCCAGTCCTCCTCACTTTCAGCAAGCAAGGCTGAACCATCTGCATGTCTAAGGGTGTTAATAAGTCTTCTCCAATCCTGATGCCATATATTTTTTCATATAATCCAGCTTCTCTGATTATATATTTGCTCAACATATAGACTGAGGTATGCTAAGAGGATACAACCCTGACACACACCTTTCCTGATTTTAAACCATGCACTATTCCCTGTTCTGTTCACACAACTGCCTCTTGATCCATGTATAGGTTCTGCATGAACACATGGATTCTGGAATTCTCATTCTTCTCAAGGCTATTCATAATTTGTTATGATCCACACAGTTGAATGCCTTTGAATGAGTCAATGAAACTCAGGTAAGCATATTAAGCATAAGAATTAGAATAGCAAAGTCCTCAGGAGAAACTCATACAGTTAGTTCTCATGACCTTGAATTTGGCAATGAATTCTTATATATGATACCTAAAGCAACAAAAGAAAATAAAAATTGAATTTCATTAAAAGTAGAAACTGTTGTGTAAGGGATCCTATTAAGAAAGTAAAGAACAAGAGAAAATATTTGCAAATAATTTATCTAATAAGGGTCTAGGACACAGTATATCAAAGAAATTCTTACAATGTAATTTTTTTTTAAATTGGCCAAAGCTTTTAATAGACTTCTCCAGAAAAATATACAAAGTCCAGTAAGTACATAAGAAGACATCCATCACTAGCCCCATTAGTGGGTGTTAAGAAATGCAGGGACAAGAGACCAACAGTGATCTAAAATCGAAGGTGAAGAGGATGTAGGCCTGGTAGGGCTTGATCAAGGGCAATGTAACCGAGAAGAATTACTGAAACCCAAACGAAGGCTGAACAGGATAGTGGGACAAGAGGAAAGTAAAAGAAAACAGAAGAAGTAGGAGGCAAAAGTCACTTATAGAGGTCTGAATATAGGCATGTACATATGTAAATATATTTATATATGACGATGAGGAAACAGATCTATGTACATATATTTATAGGTTTAGTATTACGGTAGCAGATGGACATTGGGCCTCTATTCAAGTACTCCCTCAACACAAGAACACTGTTCTAATAATCCAGCATTCTGTGATGCTCACCTTCCAGACACGATCACTAAAGACAAAATGGGTGCATAAGCAAATGTGGTGAAGAAAGCTGATGGCGACCAGCTATCAAAAGATATAAAGTCTGGGGTCTTAAAGACTTTAAGATAAACAAGCGGCAATCTAGCTCAGAAGCAACTAAGCCTACATGAAAGAAGCACACCAGAGTGTGATCGTGAGGTGTCAAGAGGATCAGGTATCGGGCATCAAAGACCCAGAACAAAAAAGCATATCAATGTGAATGAAGGGGGAGCAAGGAGTGGAGACTCAAAGTCCATCTGTAGGCAATTGGACATACCCTTACAGAAGGGCCGTGGGGAGGAGACGAGGCAGTCATGGTGCAGTATAGCACTGATGAAATATACAACTTTCTTCTAGTTCTTTAATGCTTCCTCCAGCCCCACCCACTATCATGACCCTAATGCTGCCTCACAAATCTGGCTAGACCAGAGCATGTACATGGGTACAGATAAGAGCTGGAACACAAGGAATCCAGGAGAGACAAACCCCTTGAGCGCGACGAATATTGAGAGTAGTCATACCAGGAGGGGAAGGGGAAGGTGGGGGGAGAAAGGGGGAACCAATCACAATGATCTATCTATAATCCCCTCCCAGGGGATGGACAACAGAAAAGTGGTAAAAGGGTGACATCAGTCAGTATAAGACATGAAATATGATAATTTATAAATTATCAAGGGTTCATGAAGGAGGGAGGAGAGAGGGAGGAAGGGAAGGGAGGGGAGGGGAGGGGAGAGGAAAAAATGAGAAGCTGACACCAAGAATTCAGGTAGAAAGAAATGTTTTGAAAATTATGATGGCAAAATTATGTGCTGACACAATGGATGGATTGTAATAAGAGCTGTACAAGCCCCCAATAAAATGATTAAAAAGAAATACCAAACAAATAAAAATAATAAAATGCAAATCAAAACTATAAGTAGACACCACTTCACACTCATTAGGATAGCTATATCCAAAATGCTGGAAAATATACTTTCACATGGGTGGAGAGAAGCTCGAATCCTTGTACACTGCAAATAAGCAAGTTAAGAAGGTGGAACCACTGTGGAAAACAGCTGAGCAGTTGCAGGAAAAGTTAAACAGAATTACCAAACAAGTCAACAATTCCACTCAACAAAAAAAATCAATGAAAACAGAAATCCAAACAAAACTTGTATATGAAAGTATACAGCAGCACTGCACACAAGAGTCCAAAGCTAGAAACTCAAATGTCAGGATGTTATTCAGTCATATAAAAGATATAAAGTACTAACACATACTTTAACATGGAAGAACCTAGAAAACCCTATACAAAGTATAAGAAGTTAATTACACACTGTACTTCCCATTTCTATGAAATACCCAGAGGATATAAATCGATAGAAAATAAATTAGAAGTTACCAAAGGGTGGGGGGAAAAACAGATGGGGAGTGAGGCTTCGTGGTTTGGTGTTACCTTTTAGGGTACTGAAATGATTCAGAACTAAGTAAGCAGAGATGATGACGGCACACACTATGAATATATTAAACGTCATAGAACTGCATACTTTTAATTGTTAAGTTTAAGTTATGTGATTTTTACCTCATTAAAAATAAATAAAATTAGGTGGATGTTTACATAAATACGAACAAATCTATTCTACCACCTTCATCTCCATTCCACTTTGGGAATCACCTACTTACTAGATCCCAGTACTCTGATTCTAATTTCTGGCAAGTTATTAAACACTGGCAGAGAACTGACACTGACATATTGAAATCCACAAGGATTAAAGGGGGGGGAGGAAGCAAATATGATTTTATTTAACAACCTTTGTAAAGAGACAAAAACAGAACAAAATTGCATGTAATTATGTAGAGTACTCATGCTTAGAAACAGTTGAAGGCAATATGCCTTACTTTGTACAACTTAAAAACATATTTCAAAGATTAATTCTCTTTTAAAAGGTCAATTATTATATCTAAGTTGCATATTACACGCTCACAATTAATACTGAGCTATGCAAATCTTACCGTAACTGATTGGAGAAGTCATCCTCTACGTTGTCATCATCCCAATTATCCTCCCAGACATGTGCATCTTCATCTTCATCTAGGCCAGCCCAGTCTAAACAAAAACAGACGCAGCCTAAAGTTTTCTCATACATCATTTCCACAAGTACAAAAACTTCAAAATGTTTGTCACTGAATCACCCTCACAATTCAAAACCAAATAGTCTATCTATGAGAAATACTAATCTTATTTAAATCTCAAGAAACGCATAATGTCTATCAATTCTTAAATTTAGAGAGACTCTGAAACAGAAATTAATATAAAAGAGCGCTATGTTCCATGAAAAGGTATAAATTTTAAGGGAGAATATTTACTTTTCAATATTTTTCTAGGCTAATGTTATAAGATGTTTCATAATCTTTTTTTTTTTAATGTTTCATAATCTTTCAAGACACTGCACCAGGAGCACTAAAGCCATGTCAACCAGCAGGGAAGATAACCAGCTTAGAATCTAAATAGGCTTAATATAAGTGAGGATAACTCATATAAACATATTATGATAGACTAAAAATTCATCACTAACGTTTGGCTAATATCAATATAAACTTCATTTTTAAAGAAAGAGTAAATATGCATAAAGAATGTTAATAGTTTCAAGTTTTCAGATTTTAATTTTCCCTTTCCTTTTCGTGGTGGTCATGAGGGTTTAGACTACAGCTTCAACTTTTGTTTATCATCGACATAGAGATAAGTGAACACCTTCAGGCAATCTACTACCCGAATAAGAAATATCTGCTAAGTTATAATAATAGCACAATAAAATAATACAATAAAATGATTTTTTTAAAAAGATGGTAACCAAAAAAAATTATCCATATCAGGAATGATAGATAGGCTATTACTATGTGTTCTCTGGATATTACAGGGAAACTAAGGAAATATTTTTGAAAATTTTTATTCCAATACATTTGACTATTTGTATAAAAAAAAGAAATTATAGGCAACTAAATACACAAGTAGGAAGGAAATATCAGTAAAGTGGCTTTCTTACACCCAAATATCTAGTTTTTTGGGGGGTTTTCATTTCAGAAACTATGGGACATATTGTGAAATATCAACCACCTCCTTTCCTGTGGCTGAGTGCTTCAATTAGGAATCTCTATCCCTGGTCCCAGATCTCCTCTACTACTTCCTGAGCAATATATTTCAATGATGCTACTGATTTCCAAATCTGTTTTCACGTCCTAATTTTCCCTTTACAATTACACATGCTAACTGTCTGCTGGACATATCTTCGCCTTTTCCACCTCTAACCAACCTCCCTTACTACCAAAAAAAAAAATGTAAATACAGTCAGCAGTACCAGATGCATGGGAAAATCACCCTAGATTTCTTCCTCTGTCCATGGCCAAGTCCTGCCCATTTAATCTTGTCAAATTACTCCTTGTCTCTCCACTGCTATAACTTCTCTAGTTTAGATGTTCACATTATCCTTTCTGAACTACATAAAGTCACTGTCCTTCAGCTTCTACTCTCATGATCCTGATAACAATTTAGCCTCCAGAGTGTTAAAATCATGTACTTAAAAAAGTGAGGAACTACATACACCAAAATATTTACCAATACAACTTTCTTAACTGCAATTCAATGACAATATGTGCCATCACTGCGTCTATCCTTTCCAATATATTCTACCATCAGTATTTCAAACATCAGCCAGAACATCCAAGAGCGCTTCTAGGCTAAAATTAATTAGGAAAAAGGTTTGGTGATCTTCTACCCAAGATTATCCAGTTTACTATGGCTCACACAGTTGAATGCCTTTGCATTGTGAATGAAATCTAAGTAAACATCTTTCTAGTATTCTCTGCTCTGAGCCAAGATCCATCTGGCATCAGCAATGATATCCCTTGTTCCACATCCTCTTCTGAATTTGGCCTGAACTTCTGACAGTTTCCTGTCAATGTGCTGTTTCAACTGTTATTGGATGATTGTAAGTAAAATTTTACTTGTGTGAGATATCAATGATCATGTTCTGTAGGCTGAACATTCTGTTAGGATACTTCTTCAGAATGGACACAAATATGGATCTCTTCCAGTCAGATGGCCAGGTAGCTGGCTTCCAAATTTCCTGGCATAAAGACAAGTGAGTGCTTCCAGTGTTGTTCAGCTTTCTGAAACATTTCAATAGGCATTTTGTCAATTCCTGGAGCTTTGTTTTTGGCAAATGTACTCAGTGCAGTTTGGACTTCCTTCAGCACCGTGGGTTCTTGCTCCTATACTACCTCCTGAAATGGTGGACTGTTGAGTAGTTCTTTCTGGTACACTGACGCTGTATTCTTTCCATCGTCTCTTCATGCTTCCTGCATCATTCATATTTTGCCCATAGAATCTTTCAAATTGCAATTCCAGGCTTGAATTTTTATTCTGCTTCAGATATGCTGAGTGTGTTCTGCCCTTTTGGTTTTCTAATTCTAGGCCCTTGCACATTTTGTTATAATATAGTGTTCCTAATTTTTACTTGCTTACTTTGAACTCATCCAACCACTGGACATCATGTCTAGCAAAGTGAAAGGTTAGCAAGGTGATGGAAACTTCAATGAGCTGGAATGCACAATTGCCACAACAATGTAGGAACTCACGTGTATCAATGATCATGAGGACGGTGCAAGGCGGGACACCAAGTTTCATTCTGTTGTATATGGGATCATGTAAGTCAAAGCCAACTCAATAGCATTTAACAGCAACAACCAACAGAGATGTAAGAGTTTATGCTATCTTGCTTTCCTTCTACTTACGTTGGTCCCTTACTATAATCATGACATCACTTTATGCTTATCATTTTCAAAATTTGCATTATGTTGCATAGTCAATGTTTTAAAGTAAAAGTATTTTAAATGATCTAACATGAAAAGCCATTGCAAAGATTCCCCCACATTAGCCATATAGCTTGAAGTACTCTATATTCCCCTAATACAAAACCATAGAAAAGAAGCACAACCACAAAATCTTCACTTTCCGTCAGTCCAAACTTTACACTTTGTTTTGAAATAAACATAAAATGTTCGGTTTATCAAATATTCATGTTGTTCCTCATCTCTCGTCTTTGGTTATGCCATTTTTCAAAACAGCTTTGCTTGGCTTCAATTTACCTTGAATTAGCTCAAGTGCTCATTCCCCATAAATTTTTTTTTAAAAAACCCATAGCTCCCTGGGGAAATGGTGGATCCTAAGGACAAGGAAATTACTGGGAGAAAAGCATACCCAAAACAGAGAGAAACTGGCTTAAATCCAGATCTGAGGCAATTTAAGAATAAAAAAGGATTATAGTACATTGAATTTTTTTAAATCCATGAAAAAGAGAGCTTGGAAAACAGTGCGTTTCTTTATAGTTTTCAGGAATATAAAGATATAGAAAGGCTGCTAGAATTAGCAATCATTACACAACAATACAATTTAGGAAAAGTCAACAATAGACACTAAGTATTGAGTAAAACTATTAGTAAAACAATAGATACTAACTACTGAGTAAAAATTTACTTGTTCATTACAAAAGGGAAAATGGAGAAGACTTATAGTCATATCAACCAGGTGATCAAACATATTACTAATAAATGGGCCAAGCTATGTGTCTCGATGTGAAACAGTAAAAAATATCTATCACCTATATGGTACTATTGCTAAAAAATGCCGATTCTGAATCTAATCATAAGGAAACCATCAGGCAAATCAAAAAGGTTGTACAGCCAGCCTCTTCAAATAAATTAATGTCTTCAAACACGAAAAGAAAAAAAAGGAGAGGGGGTCGTTTCTTGATACTTGTGACTGAGCACTGCAATGGGAAGAGAGCAGTCAGACATTTGTGGAAGTTGGTAAAACTGAATGTAGATTGTAACCTGGAATGGTCTGATGTTTTCTGGTGGTCCTCTAAGTTAGGCTCCTAACCTGTAACATCAGAGGTTCAAAACCACCAGCTACTCTATGGAAAAAGATGAGGGTATATGCTCCTATACAGATTCATGGTCTGAGAAATCCTATATTGGATCACTACAAGTCAGAATCAACTCGATGGTAACAGGTTTAGGGTTTTTATAAATGTTCTCTAAATAGGATATCTAATAAATGATAGAAATATTATGAATGATAGAAATAAAGCAAATACATCAAAATATTAACAACTGATTATACTGTTATTTTAACTTTTCTGATCATTGAAGAGTTTCAAATGTTAAATGTGAGGGAAAAGTTTAATAAATATAAAAATTTGGAGATAACCTCTGGAAGTCTTCCCTAACCCTTTCTCCTGTAGTTTAAAAATAAACAGCTGCTACTGCCAAGTCCATTCTGGGTCATGGCAACCTCGTGGGTCAGAGCAGAGCAGTGCTGCACAGGGCCTTCAATGGCTGAGTTTTTGGAGGTAGATCACCAGATCTTTCTTCCAAGCACCTTTGGCTGGATTCAAACCTCTAACCTTTCAGTCAACAGCTGGGTGCATTGACTGCACCAGCAAGAGACTTTTATGAAATCTCTACCATAGAATTTACTTGACATATTATCATAATCACCAGTTTATGTATTTTGATCCATTACTAGTGCCTGAGCTTCTAACAACTATATTTTACTTATATTCCTCAGCTATAAATAATACCTAGCATATCAACAGGGAGCCCTGGTGGTGTAGTGATTTACACATTGGGCTACTATCCTCAAGGTCAACTGTTTAAAACCACCAGCTGCTCCAAGGGAGAAAGATGAGGCTTTCTACTCCCCTAAAGATTTACTCTCAAAAACCCACAGGGGCAGTTCTACTCTGTCCTATAGAGTTACCATGAGTCCACACAGATTCTATATGTCAATGGGTTTGAAATTTGGGTATTTTTAAGCATACCAACAATAAATAGTTGTATACAACAGGTATACAAGAAATGGTTATAAAAGGAAATACCAGAACTCTAAAACACAATTAATAAAAATCAGACCACGTACACTTTTGTTTGATTCCTGTCACTACTCCTCAAAAAACTGTAATTATGAGTAAAGACTCTAAAATAGGCCATTAATTGTATCTTAACAGTTGATTTATTACAAAGAAAGCTAAGGACATTTAAACCTGA